GGGAGAAACAGGTCTTGGCAATGCACAGAGCCCCGCTCGGCTCTGCAGCCCAGTACCTCGCCCAGGGTCCACCCGGGAAAAGAGGCACAGGTACTGCCTGTCCTCCGCACAGAGCCGGGACGAGGGGCTCCGACGGACAGCGTGTCCCCCCAAACGACGCCATAAACAGGCTGGCTGGTCCGGCAGCGCTGCTTTTAGAGCATTTTGCCCTATGAATCAAGGTTCGCTCCCCGCAGCCTAGAACGGAACTGATCTCCGGCTGAGAAGATGGGCAGAGGCCTGCTTGCAGGGATGACCGTTAGCGCTGCACCACGGCCCGCTGTCCCAGCTCGCGGCTCTGATTTCACCCAGAACAGACAGCTTTTCTTCTCCAAGACACCTTTGCTACTTGCAACGGGATGTAGGGCTATATCCTACCAAAACTGCAGGCGTTTGCGCCCTTGTTATTGCAGCATCCGAAGAGAACGGGACTTTGGTTAGCTCTCAGAGGCTGGTTATCGCACGCGGCGCGGGCCACGCGACCGATGTAACGTACCTCCTTCTCGTTCCTTGCTGTCGTCATGCGACAGGCTCGACGCGGCCCTGTTCGGGCGTTCCTGGCATTTTAGGTGTCACCACTTTTACGTACCTTGTGCTGCAACCCCGCTGCGAAATGACTGGGCTTTGAGAGCCCAGGAGACCAAAGGGAGTTGTAGATGGGTCAGGCCCCGGCAGGCTTCACCCGTGCGAGGCCGTTTCATAAGGGAAATTACAGAACTTAAAAAACTGACTGCTTCACACGTACGTATTTGTGCTATATTAACACTCTTTTTTCTTATGCTTCCATAAACAACAACACGCGCTATGGCACAGGTACTGCAGGACAATAAAGTCCTATACAATTTACAGACACACCACTATTCCAGGGACGGTATAAAAAGAGGTTCTTCAAAATAGTTACTCACTTTGCTCCACGCCTAACCCAAGCAGTCTTTTATATGACGACAAGCTCCTACCGAAGCCCTTTGCCAACAGAAGGCCCACACGGTGCCGTGCCTATGTGCTCACCGCCTTGCAGCTTCCTCCCGTGCGGTCTTTCATCTTTTGCTTTTCTGAAAGGAAAAACTTCTGGGCTCCAGGCTGCAAAACATAGAGAAGTTGTACAAAACATTTTCATATGAGAACTCTGCATGGACTTTACACAGACTGCAGTCTATATGTGACCTTCCTCTTCTCCCTCGCCCTAGTAAGCGGCCCAAACCCATCGGCTAAGCGCAGCGTTAGGCAGACGAGGACGGTTGCACGGTCTGCGCTGCCCGAGCGTACTCACATTAGGAAACTACCTGGCGGGAGCGCAAGGGGCATCCCCGAAGCTCATCGTGTGACGAGGCCCTGTAGTTAAGTAGCCTGGGACACAAGGCTGGCAGACACGGAGCAGACGCGTCTGACTCCCATGGAGCTTGGCAACCGGGGAGCAGACGCGTCTGACTCCCATGGCAGGGAAGCCACTGTGTACCTGGACCCATCTAAAAGCAGGCCGCTTACACGGGTGCCTGAAGACAAGCCGAAACACCTACATTTTGGCACGGATTTCTTATAGCTGCCCTGTTTGGCGTGGCTAATGTCTACTGTACCGCTGCTGCAGTGGACTTTGCTGTAGCACAGGCAAGGCTGGATCACAGGTCCTGCTCACTTGTAGGGAAGTCTGATCGTTTTGCACATGTTTGGGCTCACTCAGTCCTTACAATACCACTGCTTCAGACTGCTTTTGGGCCCGTTTTGCCTCTAGTTGCATTCCATCTGTGATTTACTTCCCTTGCCTGCAAGTTCCCCGGTGCAGAGGGAAAAGCAGATGCTGCAGCGCTCATTGCTTCTCCTTGCCCGACCAGCGCCAGGCCACCACGCTCCCTGCGCTACCTTCGCGACCGGTCGCCCACACACCTCCACTCTCCCTTGGGGGTGTAGTGTTTTTAATCCCTTGAAGTCCGAGTAGATTATGTCTCCTGTCTCGCTCTTGTCAGCTCCCATAGTCCCTTCCGCAAGGCAGTTAATCAGATTTGTTATACATGACCTCTTCTTTACAATCCCTACTAACTGATCAGGGCAATCTGGCTCCGGATCCTGCTTCTTAAAGCACTCATACACGAACGCAAATAACATACTCTTGCTTGTTTGCCTTCTGCCATTGGGCATGTCAGATACGATTTGTCAAATGCCATATGTGCGTTAAGCAGCAACGGACACGTAATAGCTGTTACCTCCCTTCACCTAGGCAGGTGGCCTGTGCCTGCCGGAGATCTCACCAGCCTGCACCCAGGGCGGTAGCCGTGGCTCTGCAAAGCTGATTAGCAGCCACTGGTCAGCAGCCCTGCCTTCCCCGTCCGGTAATCTGGCCCGTTGCTCTTTGCTCTCAGGAAAACAGCGCCTGCAGTGACATACTCTCAATATAAAGTCATGATCCGGGTAGCACCTCTAAGAGACAGCCAAGCCCTAAGGCTCCAAGCCAAGAGTACGGCCCTTCAGGACAGCTAACAGGACTTCAAAATCATGGCACTTTGAAAGATGGGAGTTGGGTATTGCATAAAAATCGCAGCTCATCCCATTTCCCTTTACCGCACCATTTCACCAGAACGGAACAGCCACATGTGGTACAGGACACCCATGGAAATGCACTTCGGGCATAATCTTACCTTGCCATGGGGCTCACAGCTTCTTGCTAGACACGATGCTGGGCCCCTCCACAATTCTTATTTTGGTAAGCAAAGAAAAAAAGATGCAGCCCTACTTCTGCTTCTAATATGCATCTTAGGGATCCTGACACCGCCACTCTCCTTTTACCCAGCGTGAGCAGGAACAGGAAGCTCACCTGCGCATGCAGGTTTCCATGCATTAGTCACAGCCCCTTTGCAGATGCAATATGCACTTGTCGGAAGCAGCTCCTCTCGGTCACCTGACTTCCCAAGAGCCATCAACGCTCTTGAGAATTTTAGGCTGCTTTTGCTCCAGGGTTCTCCGGCAGCAACCCCAGCGCTTTGTTTATGAAACGCTACCTGAGGTGGTCGTCTCAAGGAGAGCATGCAATAGAAAACTGTGAGCCTTCACGCGAGATGAGAGACGTTTCCTTGCAACACTGGACAGCTCGCTTCCTCACCCCACCTCGCTTCCCTTTAGATGCTTACAAAGAAGGGACTGGAGGGTGTCATACCTTCCCAACTCGGCCTTTTTGAGAACGGGCACAGCCTGGAAGCTCCTTTCCATTTCTCTTCTCCTTGTCCTCGACGAGATTCTGGATATAAACAGCAATAATGTGGCATCTGCTTGTATGAATTACCTTAGGCCTCCTAGGAACAGTTGAGCGTTCAGATCGTGCCATGCATTTCCCCCTTGCATTCCTACATCATTGGTCACACGACATCTCTCTGAACCCAGTGACTCCTACTGCCAAACGCTACCTATCTATGTACACTTGGACACAAGGATGTTTAGTTACTGGGGCTGGCAAGTGTCCTCACAGACATTGCACCTGTGCTCATGCATTCTTACCTTGTGCAGTTTCACCACTTGGTTCAGTCTTTTCTCCTGGTTCAGCTGGACCTGTGTCCTCTCCAGAGCCTCTTTCAGCAGAGCATTCTCTTCTGCTTCCCTATAGACTTCATCTTCTAATTTAGTCATCTCTTCCTGGCACGCTTGCAAAGACACTTGGTTCAGCCTGTACGAAACAGAGCGTGGGGCTTTTACTCACATCGACACTCCAACTCCTGGCGGAGCTCCGGCTATGAGAAAGTGCTTTCAAGCAGAAGTATACGGCACTTGCATCCCTCCTAGGAGCCCTAGCACTACGGAGTTGCACAAATGGGAATCAGACCGTCTAACGTCTTGCAAAACACTGCACATGTTTTAGCAAGTTTTTCCTCTGTTCCAATTCTTTACTCTGTGAAAGAACCCTCTCCTCCTGCCTTTGCAGAGGGTAGCGACTGAGATACAGCCTCCGTTCAGGACTTCCTGTAAGGACACCCAGTAAGAGAGACACCCTCACACATGTACGCGGTGTGTTGACTGTGATTCTTTCTGCTTTGTTCCAGAGCAGATCACTGCGTATTCAGAGAGTAGAGCGCAGCATTCAAAATACGAGACTTCAGAGGGATCCTGGATGGGTTTGTAAGTGTTACTCGCTTTGAAATCGCTATAAAAATACTTGCCCATTTAGAACACTGTGGTATATTTAAACAGGCCTAGAAATATCTTTCCAAACCACTTTTTCTGGTTCTGTGGGCAGGAGTGCTTCAGCATTCGTGCAGCAAGTGAAAGCGAGAGTTTTACACAGGCACTCCAAGGGGTTCCTCCCGGTCCCTACTGGTCTGCGCTGCTTTTCCAGCTGCCTAGATGTTTTTCTTTACCGCAACAAGCACCACAAACAATGCATACAGTTCCAATACGTATATATCACTCCGATTTATCTGTCAATAAACCTTCAGCGGCTTGATCGCTGATTCAGAGAGGTAATTACGGCCTCATTACTTCCATCCATTACCATCAAAAGCAAGTCAGAGCATGAAAAGCAGCAGCGTCTGGATGCTCCCTTGTTGAAGAGACACATACAGGCTTCCAGTCCAAGCAAACAGGTTTTTGCTTCCCGCCCCTTATCACCTCCTGCAACACAAACACACACACACACACACACACACACACACACACACACACGCACACGCACACACGCACACACGTGCAAGCTTGTAGGACAGGTTCTAGAGCAGGAACATCAAATTAGGCCCTTCAGGTTGCAAAACCAATCCTGCCTTGTTCCGGGAAACAGATGTTCCCTAAAATTATAGCCCACTCCACTGCAGCTGCAGGGTCTGGCCATCCCATGTTCGGGAGCTTAGAAAGGTTTCCACAGCCCTATTACTGGTTAAGCGCATGTGGCCCGGGAAGACACTACTACAGAGAGCTAAGAGGTTCTCTGAGGCCATTTCCCTGTCTCCGCAACTCTTATATCGAGACTGTAACCACAACAAGACTTTTCCGGCTTACACATGAACCCGCACTGTTTTCGACTTTAAGGTGCCGCACTAGTCCTTTCTCTAAGTTTCCCTTCGCTTCTCAGTCCGGCTCTCGGCCTCACCGTTCAGGGCAGTCAGACCTGCAGCTACGCCCCTCGGCCGATAACGGGTGTATGGGCTTTCTGTACCTGAGCTGCTCAGCACTGGCCTCGTAATCTTTTATCATTTCTTCTTTCCTTTCCAGACGACTCTTGAGTTTACTGATCTTATCGTACAGCAGCTCTAGGTCCTTCTGTCTCTGCAGCCCCACTTTTTCCCTCTCCTCCTGAGAAAGATGTTTCACAGACTGCATTCCTGTCAGCTCTTTCATATTCATCAGCGCTCCCAGAGCACGGATTAAATCAAGGTACTGTAGAAAGAATAGGGAATTAATTATTTACTAGGCCTGCCAATTCTTAATTCAAATAAGATCACACCACTCAGCCATCTGCTTTCATTCGGCTTTAACATAAGAGATTAAAATGTCGTAAGTAAACTGCTGCGTGCACTCCCCTTTGTTTAATTTCTATGCATATTTTCCCCATACAAGCCTTTCCAAGCACTCTTACAGAATCAGCCAGATGGGGGTTCATTCATATCATCGGGCAGATTAATTTGAGGCATTCAGATAGGTAACACACCTGCGCAGAAACAAAATCGACATCCCAAACAGCCGCTATTACACACGACATTTGTTTCGCAGATGCGAGAGTCTTAGGGATCAGACTTCTAATCAGGACATGCTGTTTTTACTATTTGATGATATTCTGCACATTTCCACCAGAAGAGGCCCGCTTAAACAGCACAGGCACTTAGCTTGCCACATATACATCCCGTGCCATCCACATTTACCAGTCCACAGCCTCTCTCAGATCATTTACCAGGCATGGAAGCAGGTTAAGGCATCTTTCCTCAAATACCCTACCTGTCCTTTAGGACTAGCCCTGGCCTCCCAAGGGAGCACCCCCAAGAAGTTTAAGGGGGCGGGGAAGAAACATAGGCCGTTGCAAGTTCTGTGGTCCCGAGATGTCCAGGCAGATGCCTGGAGCTCTTTGTTTCCTCGAACCTGGAGTTCATCCTTGAAGAAATTCCTGGCATTCCTAGGGCATCCAGATGCCGGTCGCTTATTGCTGAAATGCATTTGAAAAGGATCCACCAACTGCCAGTGTAAAGCACAACTTTAACACGTCTGCTGCTTACATACCATCTTCTCACTGAGGTCTAATGCATCAGATACTTCCACGTTTGCTGGCTCCTCAACAGCTACAGGTGAACACCCGTTAGGAAAACCGCTAGGAAACTGAAGGGGCAGAGAAAGATCAACAGTGCACATAGAGATCCTCGCTTCTTAGCTACCTCTAGTCTCCCTTCTACCGGTTAGGAAAACTGCGCTAGCAAAGCTGCAGTCCAAAAACTCCCACCAAAGTCCCTAAGGGGCATTTCTGAGCAGCACTACGCCAAAGATGTTGGGCAAAATACAGCCCCTTAAAGGAATAAAGATCCTCTCTGCAAGCATATACCAACAGATTTTACGCCTACCCCTCTCCCCACCTGCCTTTTTTACCGTATCTGAAGCCTGGATCTACTTCTTCCCCTGAAACCGCAAGCAAAATTAAACACAGCTCTTCCCTTACCTTGCAGGCCTTCCTTTTTGATATTGGCAATGGTAGAAGCTCCTTCCTGAGGCCTGCTTTCTGCACTATTTCCTCTGGTAAGTCTCTCTTCAGAACCACAAGTGGCTCAGGACCCTGGCTTGTAACAGCTGAAGGAATAAAAAAAAAAAAACCCACACTTTGTAACAACTGAAAGAATAAAAAAACCCGCCCTGTGTAGCAGCTTCCTTAGCACTATGCCTTCCACTGCTTCAGACCCCAGTCCTGCCAAGACTGACACACAGCTTGGCTACTTTAAAGCATGTTTCATTTTATCGACTGGGACTAGCGGCTTGGTCAGGCGTATGGATACCTCCTGTCTTTCTTGGAGAGACAGGTCATGCTGCACTTACTTGAAGACCGAGCCTTCTCCAGCACCTTTAGTCTTTCACGGAGCTCGGCCAAGCCTTCTTTTTGGCGCCGAATTGTTTCCTCGTGCCTGAGGCCTCTGCATTTTGCGCCAATGTCGGCCAAGTCCAAAGCCAGGCCCTGAAATTAAAAGCCAGTTCTCGCTCAGCCTGAATATTGTTCTGCCCTGCATAAATGGTGAGCGAGCAGCCGCAACCCCAGCTTGGAGTAACCTGGGCAGGTGAATGGGACCTGACGTTCTGCTGCCTTTCGATAGTCGCCACTGGCAGGCAGTCTTTCCGAAAGCGCTGGTGCTTTGGGATGTGCTGAGGGCAAAGCTCTTGTGGTGTTTGACAAAACACCCGCTCCACGGATTTGGGGGTTAAGGAAAAGAGCAGCAGAGATCCCTTTCATGCTCCGCTGTGCCAGCCGGCTGGCTCTAGTGGAGGAAATAAAGTCTTTCAGCCCTCTGTAAGGGAGCTGGGATATGCAGCTGGGAGGGCCGGCGCACAGCTCGGAAAGGCCGCCCTGGAATTTTCCTCTGTTACTTTGTGCTGCAGTGGTGCACATACTGCTTTTGAAGCACAAATACTGATTTACTTTGTGGCCTACATTTTACAATGATCTTAGAAATGCTTCTCTTTTATAATACATCTGTGCACAAATGGACACGTTCCAGCACCACCCAGCATACTGCTTTATGACTAACATCCACAGATACAGATCTGGGCGAGCACGTTATTAAAACCTGCACACAGCTAATGATAGATGGAAAATGCAACCTTGGGTCTCGCCGTTTTGCTCTGCTGCACTGCCATGAGAGGCAGTTTCTCCAATAACTGTGGAACTGGCTGTGCTGCACCTACAGAGCTACACGCTTCCCCACCTCATCTTTATGCAGAAAGGCATGGGTGATACCTCCTGCTCATCATCCAGGCATGAGTCACCATTTGGCCTCGATAAATCCAGTCTTTTTAGCTGGCAGTGTCTGCCACTGTTTTGGTACAGGATGTACAATTTCTGCAGTCCTTCCATCTGCTCCTGGAGCCACCTTTGATTTATTCATATTTCTAAGGCAAGGGAATTCAAATGGTGCTCCAACACAAAATGAGAGAACGGTGACCGTTTCTTCCTTAACTTTATGACGAAATAGCCTAATCCTGCACATTAAAGCCTAACTGTTTTTTTTTATGACCACTACAGCCAGCACGTACAGCTGAGCAAGACTCACAAAAGGAGGGAAGAGTTACATGTTTTTTGTAAGCTGTTATCCAGCCTAATTGGCAATTATAACACCCATTATCGTGCACAACACTTCACGTTTGCAAAGTGCTGTACAAACATCAGCTAATTAGCCAGCAGAAATGCCTGCACGGGAGCTGAGATAGCCCTGCCGCCGAAGCTGTCAGGGAGGGGTACTAGTAAAGGCAGGGCTTTCTAAGAAAAGGAAGGCCAGTGATCCTGCATACCTTTTTGATGCATACTGAACAAGTGACACCTGAGGCTTTGCTGAGCATTGCCCATTCTCATTACAATTAAGAGAAACACTCTGTGCAGAGAACACTTGGAAGTTGCGTTCCAGATACGCACGGAAAAGAGACTCATAAGCAAGACTTTGGAGATTTTGACCCTCCAGATTTGCTGACAGCTGTATGACAAGGCAGCACCAGAAATGGGGGAAGATCACCCAAGCAACCTATTTTTAGCAAGAAAGCTGAGAACGAGGATATGAGACATAGTCTGCATGTCACTCCCACTCTTCATTTGCTGGATTTTGGGAGGGTGATATTGCTTCTCATAGAGTCTCGGCCCATGCAGTTGAAATGCATATGTAAGTGCACTCAGGCCATCTTGCCCTAGGTTTTGCTTTGTAACAACTGCTTCTTTCTTTTTTTCTTTCCCCCCCCCCCCTTTTTTTTTTCCTCTTTCTTCTAATGCCTCTGCAGTTTCCAGAGCTTTCCAGCAGGTGCGGACTTACCCTTTCGGAGACTTCATCCACTGCCGCAGTTCTAGCTTGCACTTGTGTTTGAGGAAGAGTCTTCAGCTCTTCTGCTGTTTCTTTTGAGGCATCCTTCAGCAGTTTCAGGTTTTCGTGGGCTTGCCTGTGCCAAGAGACAAAAATGTTGCTAAATACACAATGATGGATGAAGGTCAATCAAACAGCTTGCAGAGAACAGCAACCTGGATAACTGCGGTTGAATTTAAAAGCGTGGGTGGGAATAGATAACAAACAATGATTTAGTTACAAATCTGTTTGCACGAGCTCTTCCAAATCCCTGTGTCGGTTCATATGACATTTCCATAGAGAAAACACTGCTTAGCTAAATTTTTATGCTTTCAAATATGCCCTTTGCTCTGGGGGAGATATCTAAGTGAAGTCATCTGTTGGGAATCTACGGATCAGCTTTTGCAAACCTTTACGTCACAGCAGCTTATACCTTAACTCTTCAGCTACTGCTTCCAGGTCTTTATCCTTCTTATCCACAAGGTTTGACATCTCAAATAGCTTCTCTCTAAGCATGTTCAATTCACTCTCTTGGCTTTTCACACGACTCAGGTTCCGCTCCAGCTCTACCTTCTGTTTCTCACTGAGCTCTCCTACGGACAGAGAGGTTTCACAGATTACTGGTTTTCTCTGCAGTCAGGTGCTGGGTACCTGCAATTTTCAGTAAAATGTGTTTTTGGGATGCATCCCCTTTTCTCAACGCACCCTCACGATGGCTGTCATCAACAACTGAGCTTTTCCCAACGGTTCCTCACCCTGCCCTCGAGAACCCATGTAGCAGCACTCAATTACTCAGCCATTCCACTAGACCTTCCTTTACTGAAACCCGTGGCAAGGCCAGTCCTTTTGTGTAGGTGTATGCCAGAGTAACCAATCGCTCAGGCAATTTTCTTTCAGCTTGCAAAAGCGGAGGGTCACCTGGGTTTTCTAACTTGCAGGCTTTTAACCAAATACATAACTTGTACGCCATGTCCCTGCATTCACACTTCACTATTAGTGGCACAGATAGCGAGCCACTCGCATACATTACATTTCAGACTTGGTCTCATTACATTTCTCCCTGGCTATACCAGAAACTCAAATAAAGCCTCCGCAAAAGCACAGATACACAAACACACTGAGGAATCCCAGGCAAGGCTTTCCAAGTCTACTGATTTCAGATACCTGTTCTAAGAAACCCACCAGCCTGACTTCGCAAAAGAAAAGCCTCAGTTTCAGGCAACGGACCTTCAGCTGGGCATCTGCTTACAGACACCCAGAGTCACTACTATCGCTTTCATTCGTCTCAGCCTCTTAGCTTAGGAGCATGTGGAATTTACCTGGCCAAAGGGTACGGACAGCCTGGAGCTGCTTTGCCTTGAGCTGGATGACAACATTGCTTTACAAAGGTGACATCAATTTACCATTATCCACACGTGCCCTTCTTTTTCCGCTAATACTTAGCCTTGTTATTGCTCAGCAGAGGGATGGGAAGGTTCACACACCCACTGGAAACCATGCAACACAGTTCACAGACCTCTCATGTCCGACATTCGGGCTTTGGTTTCCACAAGCTCTTTTGTTAATCTGGCAATGACAGCCTCTTTGGACAGGATTGCGTTCTGTGCAGCTGCTAATTCTTCTCTGAAATTCATGAGAAAGAAAATTGCAACACCCGGGGTTCATTTGGAAGGTTCTTTTTACAGAGCCTGCACATGCCTTCTGTAGCTGGATCTTACTATTAATAAATACACACTATTTTTAAAATCACATCTTAGCCACATGAATTCAGGCCTGTGGCATGAGGATTTGCCGTCTCTCTCTCTCTCTTACCTCAAGCCATCATGTCATGCATTAAGGACTGGGCAGCGGATAACTAGCATACTGTTCTGCCTCACGGACTACTTGACTCACGGCACAAGGCTAAACACAGGAGCCCCTGGATCTTCCCTAGCTGCTCCTGCTAACAAAAGCCTCAGCCCACACCAGAGAACTCTGGGGGCTACCAGCATGCAGGTAATAATCACTGTCATGCCAGGATCTACGTGTTGGTGGTTGTTTATTTCTTAGGATCTCTGCAACAATGTAGAGCAGAGGAGAGAGAGAGAGCTGCCCTATCTCCCCAAATGCAGATTATTTCATTTGCAGATGTATTTCTAGACAAACTCCTTAAACGGCTTGAAAATATATGTTCTGCCTAATAAAAGGACCTCTTTTAAACCTCAGAGACAGAAAAGACCTCAGGGCAAACTGCAGTCGGCTCCTTTGTCTTGCTTAAGCTCTCCAATTGATAACTACTTTTCTCTAAGCCCCTCTAAACACGACCATTACGAGCAAGAGATCCTCAGCTGCTTACATAAGACAACCGTGAGACTCCTCTGTATGACAAACTGCTAGTGAAGCAGCTGATGAGGACCTGCAGGGATCACCCTGAAATCCTACAGGAAACAATAACAAAAACAGATTATTTATTCATAACAGACAAGCATTTTCGGTCTACTCGCTTCTGCAATGGATTCTGCATCCCGCACCAACGTCTCAGTGCATGTCCCTCTAAGAACTGAACTGTGGCTTTCTACTGAGGCCTGTCTTTCTCGGGGCTTCACTGTTTGCATCCAGGAATGAACAGGCAGGAATGTACTGTGAAAAAATATTTGGACTTGCAACCATAGCATCTTACACAGGCAATGCTAGATGTATCTATTTTTTCACTTCACCTGCTAAGACCGAAGCCGTTCTTTTTTGGAAACCCACATCCCATAGGCTCCAGTTCCAAAAATGTTTAAACAGACCCCTATGTCCTTCCTTGTTCAGGTTCACTTATGCTTAGGCTCAGCCAATAGCACTTCACTCTCCAATGCTTTTGAGGGCAAAGAACCCTTCTCAAAGATGGGTTGACCTGTCTAGGAACTTGGCGCACTTGGGAAAGTCACAGAAGATGTAGAACAGCATACTCCAACTCACAGTCAAATAGGTCCTTCGAGGTACGAACAAGTAAATACTGCACCCAGACAAACCTCAAAATAACATCCAAAGTGCTTTTCATAGTGGCAAGCAATGCACTACTCTATCTCTAAATATAATTTCACATTAGCCAAGGGTGTTCCCAGTACACACACATCCCATGCAATCCTCAGCTACCTTCTATTTTTTCCAAGAGCGCTACATTTTCCTCTTCTAAAGTCTTCTGCTGCTGCTTGGCCTCCAGCAATCTGTCTTCTAGTGCAACAACTGTCTGGGAATGTTGCTTAATTTGTTCTTTATATTCCATTATTTCTTCCTGAAGTTTCTGCTTCAGTAAGTCATTCTCATTCTGAAGGCTCTTTAGCTGTTTGTCTTGCATGAGTAACTGCTGCTTTAACATGATCTAGGAAACAAGATGTGCGATTTCGCTTGGGCACTTTGGGAGCCAAGACTCACTCCTACTGGGTCTACCATCAGAGAGAGGCCAGCTCCCCTTTTGAAAGGATCCATAGGGTGGGCAGGCTGCAGCCCCACTCATCAGGAGGGAATGGGGAACCTCTTTCAGCGAAACTACATCTACATCACACCCACAAAGATTATTAGAGCTACCTCTCGCTTCGCAGTTTCCTTTAGGTTGTCCACAGCTTCTCGTAGTTTGACATTTACAACCTCCTGCTCTTTTGACTTCATTTCAATTACCTACATGAGGAAAACAGTGGTAACTGAACAGATCCTAAGCTTAGAAGGATCCACGCTTTTCTCTGCAAATACGCATTTAAGTGTCTTTGAAAAACAACATGGTCCCCAGACAGCACCTGACCAGATGGGCTGTAACATTACAGAGCATCTTCAGAACAAAAGAAACCAACTGTAGATGGCTCTGCTTTCCCTCCTACGCATTTCACTAACCTCAGTCATATTTCTCAGGTGATTTTCCAAATCTTGAATCTTCTTCTGTTCTTCATCCACAGACTGCTTGAACTTGTCCTTCTCCTTGGCGACAGCACTCTCCAGAATCTGAGAATTAACAGGCAACTGTCAACCATTTTGGTAAAGATAAAATCATAAAATAAAGCAAGAGAACTTGACTCAGATGAGGAAAGCAACCAAGAGAGTTACTGATTTGGAGCAGGGGCATATTTTGGATGAAGAGCTTGGCTCGACACAAGACAACTCGATGAGAGAGGGGAAGAGAGCACCGTGGGAAAGGTACGGCAGAGACGAGCAGAAGCCAGTCAGCTGTTCATTACCTGGCTCGTGTGAAAACCTGAGGAAAAGGCTGTGCCAGAAGGGACTGACAGATGAGCACACTAGAGACTGTCTTACAAGACAACTGCAATATGCTGTCCCATTGCAGTATGTTGCTACGATACAGATATAGCAAACCACTACCTCCGATCTTTAAGGCAAATATGCCCTGTACCAGCTCCATTTCCCCAAAGACCTGGGCTTACTCAGGATTGAGGATGCCTGAGTGAAAACCAGTCATGTAGCGACCCTTCCTGCTCCAAAGGGGATATACTTTCCGGCTAACACAGACCTAAACCTAGTTCACTATGTGGGAGGCTGTTTTCTCCCCTGAATAACAATGCACTGCTTTCATTACTGGAGAAACATGTGTTGTCACCCCCGCTCTAGCAAAGCACCCTGCAAAGGAAGCACCAACACATGGCTGGGTGGAGGGAGGAAAATGCTTGTACGGAAGTGAATCTGCGCTTAGCCTCAATTTACTACAGACAACACAATGTCTTACAAAGCTGTCATACCTGGATGATGCAACTTGCTTACAGCTTTCTCACATGGATTTACAAGCAGTACTGAATTTTGCCATTATTCGTGTGCTCTTGGGACCATACCTAGACATTTTTGGAATTGGGGGCTAGAGACTTCTTCCTTTCAATAGGCAAGACAATCCTCATTTTTCCTGCATAAAAGACACATTTCTAAAAAATAACCATGCTGCCATACCTCTTTGCTTTCCTCCTCCTTTTCCAGTATAATTTGATTGATTTTTATCCGTAGGTCTTCCTCATGTTTCACTTTCAGCTTGTTCAAATGCTCTTGTAGCAAAGCATCCTGGGACTCCTGGACTTTGTCTAATTGGGCCTAGAGGGAAATATTAGAAAACACAGCATTAAAGGAAGCATGTTAGCGGCAGAACGAGAAAAAATGTTCTGTGCGTTCAGTAACAAACAATTCAGACAAGACATGTACAATTCAATCTCGTAGAAGTAGCAACACGGACAAAAGAAATTCCCATATCACGTTGACAGTGGGCACTGTGTTTTTCGTTCTACTGCCCTTACTGGAGATCTGCAGCTCTCTGCTACTCTGCATTTATGATTTCATTTCATCACTGGGTCTCTTAAGGCTGCCACCGTTTTTACCAGTACAAAGATCCCATACGTGTATATATATATATATATATATATATATGTAAACTAGACCTAACTCCATTTTTTTTTACCTCTAATATTTGAATCCTTTGCGTGGCTTCATGATTATTTTCCAACAATCTCCTGATACAAGCTGACAGTCCTGCAAAAGAAATGGACTATTAACCTAGGAGGTTCTTACACAAGCCATTTTTACCTGCCTGCGGTATCTGGCCAGTGACTTCTGGAAGTGGCGGTCCAGGAAAAGGCCTAAGGATACTGCTTGTGTCTTTCCAAAGAATTGTTTCAGCCACAGCTTGGAAAGGCTCCTAAGGGCCAGCTGAGAGCCTCTGGAACAGTTACTAAAACCCAGGCCACGCAGTACATTTTCACCTGCAGGAGATTATGCAGAATATTCAAATTAACCATTGACAGAATCACCAACGTTACTAAGACTTTTCTTGAGGTGAGGCCGACTTTGCAGACAACCCGGACTACTGTTCTCACCAGGAGACTTTATTTTAGGAAGATGGTATTATCAAACACTGTTATCAGTATTGCTGTGTCTTCCCTTTTCCTCTAACCCTGACACTTCTTCAAGAGCAGAGGAAGGATCATTTCTCCAGCACATAAATGTTATTCTCGAGATGCTTCCGGTGCTATCATGACCATGCTGCTAACCACAACAGTATTGCAACCGCCTCCCTCCTGCCGCTTCCCCACTGACTGCAGGCTGTCAAGCCACTCTGCTGCTCCCCTCTACTGCACAACACTTTACACTTTTAAACTGCGGTACACTTTTGACATGCTTCCTCCTCCCACCCTATTGTCAGTGCAATTATTCATCGCAGTTACGCTCCATAATACAAGTAGCACATCATATGATGCTTTGACACAGACCTACACTTTCAAAGCTACTTCGTTTTCCACACACTCTTCACATTAACTCATTTTCTGCAAATTCAACAGCGCAATTGCTCTGCTCCACAACAGAGATTGCAAAGGAAAGGAAAGACAAAGAAGTGCTTCGTTACCTCAAGATAAGAAGTTAAGATCTCAGACTGCAGCAATCAGCAAAGCTACAATCACTGCCAAGAACTGCTTCCAGTATGCTAACAATGAAAAAGCCACTTTGAATATATAACCAGGATGTAAGTAGATAAAGACCATAATATACACAACGTATTTGAAAGACAAATACCAAAATGTACACTGGGTGGTACTGGCTACAGAGGGTGACTGGTGTCAGAGAGGCAATGTGGAAGAGTGGTCACTGCCAGAGCAGAACGCATGACCTGCATCCAGGTCATGCTCTATTGGCGTTACAGGCTGAAAACAACCAGCAAAAATATCAGCTACTTGACTGTTCTCACAACTTGCTAAACCTAAGATGCAGAGATGGATCCAGCCTGAAAACCAGGAACCCACTCACATGCTAGAGTGCGTAACCTCACTAGCGTCTGGTAACATGCCCAGACACAAATATGAAAATGAGTGCTTGCTAGTCTATTTAGGCAACTGCGTTGCCTTATCTGCTATACTGCCTGAGGAAGGATGGTGCTGAGATGTGCTAGAGTCTTGTTTCCTGCTGTTATACCATGTCCTCTTCTCACTCTCTTCTCAGTTGCCAAAACTGATTTAGATGGTAGCAAATGTGGGGGCCTGAAATGCTCAAGCTTACGCTGCACTTTCACCTCTCCCGCTTGCTGCCAAGGAAAGCCGTTTGCATCACATCAGTTAAGATGAACAAATGCCAGCCGGGATGAGAACCTTTGTCAGAGGAAGGCAGGTCCAGCCCTGCGCTCTCCAGGAGCTGCTCCACTCCCTCCATCCAGGCCAGGAGCTGGTGCATGGTTTCAACCACTGCTGTGTGGATTTCCAAGACAAAGGGGTCCACGCATAGAGCCTCAAAGTTACAGAGCTCCCGTCTCAGGCTAGTGCTGCAGCAAGAGGTCTTCAGGAAAGCCTGAAAGAATAAAACCGATAAACAAACCAGCCTCCTCAATTAGGGGGCTTCTGTGACTTGACAAATAACACTAAACTTCCATAAAAGCACTGAGATGTAACTATTCACGGAGCATCCCAGAGCAGTGCTTTCTTAGAATATAATGCAGCCACACTCGTCCATCAGAAGTTAGTTTATATGCTACAATGTTTAGTGCAGTCTAGCCCTGGGTACAGCCATGTGAAAACTTTGGTAAGGCACTTGTGTTGAGAGGTTGATACCCGCTGGAGGAAAAGGCACCTGGTAGGCCCTGCTGGGGATGGGTCAGTACAGCCTAGCTAGCAAGCAGGCTGAGGGGAGGACACTTTCTTTCAAACCTTCACTTCTGGGGGACAAAACTTGCTCTCCTTGATCTGGAGAGCAGAACATTTGCTAGTGCTGGTACACAAGCATATCTTTCCTCTGATGTATCCTTAGGTCAATAAAATGCACTCTGCCACTGCTATCTCCTCACTGACAGGTAATAAACAGTGTATAAACAACTGACCTGGAGCTCACATAATGATTCCTTGAACACCTCAACGTTTTCGGACAATTTCTTTTCCTTAGAGAGCCTAGAACTAATTTCCTCCTGGAAAAACTTCTCTTTTTCAAGACTTCGGTGGTTTTCTTCGGAGATCTGCCTGATCTTCTCAATTAACTGGCAAAAGTATGGGGAGGAAGAGGAAAATAAAGCACTATTTTAAGTAGTAGCCCACATTTTAACCCACATTTTCAGCAGAGGGAAAATCTATTCCACAAGAAAAGTCTGCATACTTCTAAGATTTGGCTTTTGAGAAACACATGCTCAAATAAAACTGGTGTGTAGCATGTATAGTAGTTTTATGCTTTTCTAATGACTTAGGACATTGTTTTTCTGGGCATTAAGATTACGCACTCTTCCACCTTGAGGTGGCTCTTCATTACATGCTTCTCGTTACATTTCTACATTTTCTCCTCAGGCCAATTTTCATGTACGGATACTGTAACTACCAAAGACCCAAAGAAAAATTTTCCATTACTGCCCTCTCAGCTCTTCCCTTGAGTGGTTTTAGTCACATGCATACGCTGAAGCACACGTCCACACTTTGCTTTAGCACTATCTAAGCACAACCCATGGCAGGATCAAGGTCCAGTTTACCATATACAGCTGTTTAGCTCTACTCTGTAAGGCTGCCACACAGGCTGGGTCTGCAATCACGCAAGGAGAACAGGCTTGAGAAAATGGGCCTTTCCTCAAGGCCTTGGGGAAGCCACTGAGCCATAGAAATCCAGGGCAGTGATTGAAAATTGCTGAAAAACGTTAGCCACTTAAGACTATAAGGTGTTTCCCTGTTATAGCCCAGTGACTTCATCCAAACTTTGGAGGAGAAAAAGGATCACATTTCCTTCACGTCATGGTGACCTGTCGGTTACCTGGGATACCTGCAGAATGTCTCGGGATATGGAAAAGTCTGGATGATTTTAGCGGTACTCCCGTGCACAGCGCAGGCCCTGCGGCAGCTCTGCAGCAGCCGACTCTGCCCGAGCGGAGCACCGAGCGGAGCACCGAGCTGCTCTTGGTGACGGCATCTGCGCTCACCTGCTGATCTGTTATGGACTTCTCCGCAGTTCCTGTTGCTTGTGGAAAACAGACTTGCACCACTTGGTGTTTCAAAGACTCCAGCTACAGCAGAGGTTAACACAAGGAAATAACATCACTGAGAATCAATAAAAATTCTGCTTGTTAAGTCTATACAACCCTACAAAAATCAATTAGAAGGGCATCTCTGTGCACCTGCTATGTTGTTTCATTACCATGGCCTAATCTTATGCCGGCTGGCAGGATCTGAGAGCAAGACAGAAGTAATTATGAATTAAATTGGGAGACTCTTATGCCTGTCATCTCTGACATTGAGACCTAGGATATGCTCTTGCCATCGCCTCAGGACATCGCTCGAGTTCACACTCAATTTTCTGCCACAACAGTTCACAAAACCCTTCCTTTTAATATGATGACTTACATCCCACTGACAGCAAGGCACTGCCATTAATAAAATTAGTTATGTTGTCTGCGAGATGCAAGTTGTAACCACCACTAGGGCTCACAAGGGAGGCTCTCAAATCAGCCATCAAGGTAAATGTGATTCCTGAACGTCCTTTGCTGTCATGCTAATGCTGGGGAAAGAGGGCACTGACATAGGGCTGCTACAGATAATAAACAAAGGCCATACTGCTAGGTACAAAATATCCACAAGCAATTCCCTGCAAGAATTTCCCACTTGAACACAACTACTGAAATAGAAACCTAAAAATGTAAGGAGACCGATTATGGAAAAAGGCAATACACAAGCAAAAGGAACCCCACAGAGGAGCCCCTGGAAAGCTGGTATCTAATTCAGCCCTTATTACAGTCAACCACAGCCTGGTATATTATATCACCTAACTGCTGTTGGTCCAACAGTACCAGAGATGGAGGAAGGTCAAGTGATTTGGGTGACTCTGGGGAGGCTTATGTTTCTGCCTGACACCAGAATTACACTGGTTCAATTTCCGTGCCTCTGAGACCCCTAATGGGATACTGCTAATGCATCTGCTTATCGTTTGCAGGAGATTGAAGCACATGTTAATGCGCAGCTTTCTATTCAATGCTATCGCTTTCGCCTCTGCCTGCTTTAGCAAGTGGCCGCTCTCCACAGAGGCCAGGGTGGAAGGTGCAAGCCCAGTACACAGCGAGCCGTCTGCCACCAACCCTTCGCCGTTAGCGAGGCAGACAAGGGAGGGCTGCTGCGGGGGGAAGACGATGGGGAATCCTGCCCTAGGATCCAACCCCATCCGAGAGAGGAGGAGACCGAGGCGGGGAGCTGGAGAAAGAGACAGACATCGTCAGTGTGAAAGGACAGCCTTACATCTAGGACTGGGAAACAGCTCACCTTGACAGGTAGCGCTTCAGTGGAAGCGTGAGACAAGGCTGAAGTGCTGAACCTGGGTTACATGCCCAAAAGGGCCTGAGGGTTGTTTACTGTGGGGCTCAGCCAAGGCCCAGGCCTGAGGGAGCGACCATAGAACAAGTGGAAATTGGCCAAACCAGGGGCAGCGAGACCTTTGGGACAAGAAGAACCACAGTACCCTGGACTCCCAGTGCCTGGTTAGGAGGAGCAAAGGTGTCAGACTACAGTATGTGTTGACACAAGCTCCCTCTTCAAGGCCTTTATCTTCTTGCCCAGGTGGTATTTCAGGACAGACAGATTGCTACGCAGTTGCTGAATTCCACACTCAGATGGGGATTTCGAATGGTTGACTCCTGTTTCCTCCTGCGAAACAGTCAGGGGCTCGTTGGGGACATCTGAGGATGCCACCCACAGTGTCTTTTCAATAAAAGATGCTAAGCATCTCACTGAGCATCTCAGTACAGTTCAGTTTCGTAGACGGTGCTAGCTCCTCCTCGGCCTCTGACAAACATCTATCTCTGTGCTAACCTACATGACAACATGCAGACCCGCAAGGCAGGAGGTTATCATCTGTGAAAAGTGTGGGAGTTTCTGTTCAACACTGTCAAGTCTTCATCTGTCGTTGAACATTTGAGGTTGCCTTCAGCTCCACAAGTCACAAAAGCTAAAAGCTGTGGTTAATTACCAAACGTTTAATCAAAGCCTTTTCTGCCTCTCATCAACTGAATTTTTACTAACAAACCATGGTAGCAAAATTGTGTGTTACAGGTTAACCTGGGGGCACAACCTTCTCATGTGAAGCATAGCTTTGTCATGGTGAGCTGACATGACTGTCAGACACAAATAAAGACAAATCATAATTTCCTCCCATGCTGAGTGCAGAAACTTTGGTGCAGTCAGCTAGCAACAAACCCATTTAAAAGTGGTAGCTCTGTAAGGTAAGGCTTTCAGTCAGCAATGGGAGTGCCCCAAGGCTGTGTTGCTGCAACAGACCTTGTCTTTAAATACGGTAGGTTTTTCTGCAAAGGGCTGCCTCTGCGCTGAATAGCATTACATAGACACAGTGGAGGGTTCGCATGGGTTCCAGACAGCATGACTAAGATCACAGAGATAGTACTGCATTTCCGTATCATATTAAACTCTCTGCATCTTGTACAATGACTAAACACATCCTGTTGTATAAGCCAATCATACAGCACATGACCACAAACTAAGACCAGTGCCACAGAGCTTTGTGCTCAGGAGTCAGTATTTCCTTTCTGGAACTCAAGCTCTGAATGCCTTTCGCAGCTATGTTTTTCCCCTAAGAGAAAGTGGACTCTTGTTACCTACAGCCTGAACTGTAGGATAATCACATTTCTTTCTCCTCCCTACCTGATCTTTGGCCCGATCCAAATCGGATTTCAGCAGGCGTTCCCTGCGCCCCATCTCCTGTAACTGCTGAGATTTCCTTTCACATGCTTTTTTCAGCTCCTCTTCAGCCTGAAACAATGAGAGCATTTGAATATCAAAGCAATACCAGAAAATAAAGCCATGAGCAGTTCTACCCCAATATCTGCTGTTCACAGCAGACAACTCGAAATATAGCTTTGAGCTACCAGGAGACACATTTTAGTCCTTTTGCAGGGGGGTGCGGTTGAAGCTTTGGACACCTAACACCAGTTTTTGGCCTGACTTAGGCCCTTGGGACATCATCCACCCTATACTGTCAAACACAGTGTCTCTGCTACAAGAGTTATCTTTTTCCCTCTGGGTATGTAGCAGTCAGGCACAGCGCTACTGTCTGCCAGAGGGGCAGGATTCCTAGGGGCTTTCTGCCCTGCAGATCTCGCAGGCGCTTCCTCTGAGTTGCACCATACCTCTCTGCAATTCGTGCCATACCTCTACGTCTGAGGGACCTGCAGCGCCGAATCCTCACCGCCCAGGGCTGCGCACACCAGGGCAGGGCTGCCCTCTGCTGAATATAATCAGATCTGCTGAACAGCCAGCTTGGCCGCACCAGCTAGTTCACATTATCATAGGGCAGCCCCTTAACAGCAAGTCTCCGTTTCTCTAGGTGCAGCCTAACTGCTGCTACAGGCACCTGGTTAAATACAGCTGTGGCCACAGGCTGCTGCAGAGCTATCATTAGCGTACTGTGAACTGCAGGGAATCGGTACCGAAGGGGGACACCAGTGCTACATGCAAAAATTACTTCCTATTCAGAGAAGCATCTTCTATCGCAAGGCCTTTAATGCAACGACAGAAGAGAAAACCTTGGCTGGTAACCAAATTCAACACACAGTAAAACGGACTTGCCAGGGGCCAAGGTTAGATGCAGGGACAAAAAGTAGAAAAGTATGAAGGATCTACTATAATTTGATACATGTTCAGCAAGTGCACCTGCATGGCAAAAGTGCTGTAAGACTTATCACCGCTTTTATTTTAAGACATTAGGAAAAAACACAGACAAAAAAAATAAAGGAATTGGAAACACTGGTCCCAAACAGGAGCTGCAGGTGCCAAACTAGCATCTGTCTCAGCTCTGTTGGCCTGTGGAGGCTAAAAGCAGGAGCGATGGCATAGCCCAGACTGGAGGAGCAACAAAGAGTTTCCTCGGGGGAACTCCAGCCTTGTAAGATGGCTGGGAAAAGTCCTAACCGTCAGGGCTTCCCAAAGAGCCTGGCCAGACATGAATGCAGGATTGGACAGGCCAAACTCAGCCTAGAGGCTGTCTGATGATCCACCTCACTACAGCGACACCAAATAACCCATTCTTTTGCCCCCGTTCAGAAGTTTGTAGCTACGTACTTCACCTCCCAAGCTGCACGCTGTCCTTTCCAGAGCAGAGAGCAGCTAGTTGCAGCATGGACATTTACCTTTGCCTTTTCAGAGAGCCTGTTTCTGATGGTTTCTTGTTCAGTGCAGTACTTCTGTATTTCTCCTTGCAGTCCCTTCAGATGAAATTCAAGCTCTCCAATGCGCTGCAAGAGTCCCAGCAAAGTGCAAGGTTTCATTAAGGGAGCTCAGTATTTCCACTATTGCTTGTCTTGAAGGTCTTAACCAATAAGCAATACAATTTCCCCATCTATCACTAAAGACACCACATTTAGAAGCGGAATGGAAATGACTAGTATGATGCTTATGAAACGGATAGGACGCTGCATTAGAGCACTAAGCAGGCCAGCTTCCTGTTTAATTTACCCCGATGTTTTTTTTGTTCTAGTCTATATTTATTGCTGTTATCATGACTTTCAAGTGGAATTTAAATCTCACTTCAAACAGAATTTCACTGCATTGCAAGGCGAAGTTACACTATTTCCAGGAGTTTACATTTCTCTGGTTCGTTATGCAAGGTAGATCCCTTCTATTGTAGGAGCCGGATTCCAAACAACTTTCTTAAAATGTCTCGTTAATTATTCTCTCGATGATGCATTCTTGCAATTGCTGCTTTCTTGTGTGCTAAATCACCCCAAACAACTAGGAACTCACATTTCGGTAAGCAATTACTTCTCTCTCTCCGAGTTCATGCTTCACTTCCTCTTTAATTCTAGAACACTAGAACGAACAGCAACCAAGGAAAAAAGTCACCAAGCCAGCCAGCCACTGTCATTTCTACAGTAAATGTCGATACATACATCAGTACTAAGCACACGGACACCTAATGGGTGGCACAGTGCCCATAACAGGCCATCAAGGCATCAAAAGTACAAGAGCATCAGCACCTCAAAAGGCCCTGTGAAATCATAGCCTGGCTGAGAGAAGAAAAATCACCTGCAATGAATATGCCACACAGATAAATTCCTCAGGCCTGAGCATAAGTATAACGGGAAGGGAGCGAAAGGACAGAAGGAGATGAATGGTTTTTTTTTTCAAAACATCCATGGGATTCTGAACATTACCTTAACAGGTATTTTCAGGCTAACCTTACACGGAGCTCTTCCGCATTTCAGTTCTGCATTTTTGAGTATCAGGGTTGCACAGAATGAGTCCTATACCGACTGCTGAGGGCGCAGGTACCTTCCGGAAAGCCTGCACGCAGAACAGCTCCTGCCTTGCTCCAAGCCTTTCCTGCAACCATGGAGCAGTTTCCGCTTGGCCTCCCCACAGAAACCTCCGAGGGACGCCCTGGGACATGCTCACAGCTTCTATGCGAGTGACATGCACAGCGAAGCGCCGCCAGGCACAAAGCAGCCTGCTTTCCCAGCACACCTATTCCCCCCCCTGCACATAGGAAATCTAGTGCTCTAACCTATAGCTTCTGCACAGGTTACAAACGGCTGATCCTAAGAAAAGCTGGGCTTCCATAAACTCATAAGACCTCTCAGCTCTCACTGACTTCGGCACTTCCCCAAGTAGGACGGGTTTTCCTGCAGCCACCCAGGGAGCTGCTCAGTGAGGATGATCAGCCAGAAAAAGGTATATTTCTGTGACCCCCGCCTGTATCCCAGGGGCCCAGGAGACCTCCTCTAATGCCTTCCATTACTCAGAAATGGTGGTGAATAATTGAAATTTCCTGGAGCACTGCCTAGTCAGCCAGCCAAAATGGAGCGCCCGTTTTACACTTACTATGCAAATTATGCAGCTTCGTAAGGTTTGTCAGTTGAGCGGGGGGCTGAAAATGCACAGAGAAACAATCTGCTAGAAAGGCAGTTTTCTTTAAGGAAAAAGACAGGCTTGGCTGTCGGGAGCATCAAAAAGACCAGGTTTCCATGGCTAATAATGGCTCCTTGGAAGGATCTTGGCACAGGTGCTTTGAACATACAAATAGCTACAGTGCTCCCAGAAATTCAGGTCACAAAGTACCTGCACTCAGAACAAGGAGAGGGATTCATCTAGGACAGCCGACACCTCTCTCTGGGCTTTTTGCACCATCTACACACAATCACTGTAACATCTCAGTGATACAGCTCATGCTTCTCACAGCTTCAATTTGCATGCAGCCCGACCCAGAAGTTACAACTGTCCCTGTCAAAACGCTGTTAAAACAGCTGCTACAGTCCTTCGCATAGAGTAGCAGGATCCATCTGATCTTATTTTCCACACTCATCCATATGTGAGACAGTAAATTACAGAGCCCATCATTAGGGATGTAACCTTGGCAGAAACAACTGCTAGCTGATTGTCCTTTTCTCTGTTTTCCTTCTTAATTCTTTCAACCTCTTGATTGAGCTGCTGAATTTTCTGCTCCTTCACACCAATTTCTCTTTGCAGGCTGGTCACTAGTCCTGTGAAAAACAATTTAAGTCAAAGGATACAAAAGCATTGCCCTACCAAACCCCTCTGGCCACTGACCAGCGATTCTCTGTGTTTTGCAGCAATCTGACTTGGAAAGCAGGGTCGGCTTTTGGCAAGCCACGCTGGACATCATTCTGTGACAACACTATTAACAAGTTCCTCCGGGCTTTGGTGCATATGCTCCCTGAAGGACGAGCATTTCTCTTGCAGCTCACATTCTCTTAGGTTAGTATGTTGGGTCTAAAGCTGTGATACCTTCTCCCTGCCAATCACTGTTATTACGGCATCCTTTTAGACAATGGCAATGAAGCAGAACGGTTTTGCTAATCTGAATGCATTATGAATGCCTGTTTGGGAAAAAAAAAAATCTAACGTTTTGTGTAAATATTATATTCCTCGGGCCTGATAAATACCGAGATAAAGGCAATTGGAAAAGGCTTGCAGTTTGAGGAGGGCTTTGCAGCCATGTGCAGAGCAGCAGGAACTCAGAGCCTGATGATCAGCATGTGAGGGATCCCCTGGTGCCACTGCAGGCAACCGAACAAGGCTGCTTTCAAGCAGCTCGGAGCCTAATCTACAATCAGTGTTTGCTGGTTTGCTTTTGAACTCAATTCTGCGTGCCATCTCTCTCTGCCTTATGCCCTCATGTTTTTCCTCACTCCCATCGCGGTCATTATGTTAGAGACTACCTGCAAGTCCCAAAGATCCACAAGAAATAGAAAAAGAGGTAGAATTTGTATGAGCCTCGACAAGTCATTTCTTGTCAGGACAATTTACAAATACTTAGTCATTTTGAAGTGCCACTCCTAAACTGTTTAGTGCTCTAAACTGAGTTCCCCAAAATGCCAATGGAAAAATACCTGCAGTCAGAGATTGATCCCTCTTTAACTTCTCGCTTTCCTTCTTCAGGCTTACAATTTCTAGGTCTCTTTCAGAGAGGGAATGGCTAAAAACTTGGCTTGAGTCTTTCTGGAGGTTGCTGATCTACAAAACACAGAATAATGCACACTCCATTGGGAGCAGCTCTAATACATTTCTGTTCTAAGCACAAAGTAAACATTCTCTAGGCTTCAAAAAGAGTCAACTGTTTTCTGATTTACATTAACTTTTCATACCCTCACAGAAAGTCCTAGTTCTTACAGGATCAAAAGCCGACAGCATTTTAGGAGAAACTCCTCTCGCTACAGCGATCAAATGTTCTTCCTGCTTCTGAAACTTAAACACTCAGACAGAAAAATTCCTATGTTTCTCACCGATTCCGCATGGGCAGTGCTGACGGTATTTCTACGGATAACACAAAAGCTACCTGTCTATTACTACCCAGTTCAGAGAGGTAAATCTAGCCCTTCAAGGTCACAGTCTGATGGGGTTACTCTCCAGTGTCTTTGGCTAATTCTCAGAAATAATTGTTTCCGACAGCATCTTCTTAAAGCGCTTTTGGCTGTTCACACATAATATAAATAATAATATAAAAGGCACCAGCGAAACAACGTATCATGCTGTCTGCAATCCTGAGAATATACAGCTGGGGCTGGCTGAAAACGCTAGCACAATAACAGCCAGAAACACCTGTAGATTTGTAGCCCTCAAAGTGCATCCGTATTTATTATACAGAAAAGCAGATCCGGAGATGCTAATAACTCAGGTTCACATTTCCACTGCAAACACGGTTCTTATGTTCCCTACCGGGTATCAGGAGCAGGGAAGAATCTGTACAATCTACTTCTGCATATCATCGCCACAAAGGCAACCAACAGAAAGTGAAAATATACTTCCCACTGCTAAAATCACTGGTTTCAGGAACCTTTCTCAAACCAATTGTTGGAGAAGCTAAAAGAGTGAACGCAGTGGTGGAAGGGCCTTTTGTTAGGGAAGGAAAGCTGTCTGGATGATACAGAGGGCACATCATCTCGGCAGTGTAAGAGGAGAGATGCCGGCAATACCCCCAGAATTGGATCTCTTTTTTGCCGCATGGAACTTGCCTATCAAAAGTTCCTGTTTCTGACACACAGTCAGAATGAGCACACAGCATTTCACAGCCTCCTTCAGATCGAGTCTGTATAAAATATGTGCCAATACTGGTCTCCTCATCACCATGTCAAGCAGGTTTGGCTTTGCCACCCCATTTCAACACAAGCCCCAGATCTAAGGAAGCCTGGCTGCCGAAGCCTGTGCGTCTCGTATTGGACTGACAGCTTTGATTGACTCTTCTCCCACATTTGAGATATTTAGGAGGACTCAGTCCGTCAGGCTGTCTCTCAAACACATATTCTGTTGTCCAATAAAACATGGGTGCATGCTGTAACATATCCCTTGACAAGACAATTATGCTCTCTCTCTTCTACACAGCCATCTACTTTCACCTGACTGCCAAAGAGCCTAATTGCCCTTGGGACTATAACCCCCCCTTCGAACGCAACTGTTGAGTCAGTTCCTGGGGAAAGAGTGGTGAAGGGGAAAGAGGGGGTCATGGAGCCTGACCCAGCACGATGGTGCATGCCTTTTTTCCACCACCAAGTTGGCTTAAACACGTTTGCCTTCCTCCTGCAGTATTACAGATTCTACCACATTAAATGGGAAATTTAATTACCAGCTTTTGTAAGGGAAACTCGTACAAAGAGCTATCAAATGCACAGCTTACGTTGCCCTACGCAACTTACAGAGCTGAAAAAACAAGGTGTTAAACGAAACTCCCCAAACTAGGGTTTTGTACATTAGAGAGAGATTTGCAATGGATAGTGCCTATTTAAGCATTCAGTACCTGTTCTTTTAAGGCTTTAATCTCTCCCATTTTTGCCCCCATTTCTCGGTCAAAGGTCAGTAGCTTCTGAGTCAGCTCTACATTGTTTCTAGCAGCAGCCTGAGCCATGGTCTTTGCCATCATTGCAATTTCATCCTGAAGATTTGCTATCACTGTGTCTTTATGCTTCATTTCGGTTTCAAATCCAGAGAGGCGACTGATTTCCTTTTCCAGTCTCAGAAGCTTTTCATCCTGCATGCAGATTACATGTGAGGTCTCACAGTCTCCAGCTACAGAGACACCAGGCTCTCCAGTAATAACTAAAACCACTTATTTTCATAAAACACAGGGACAACTTTGGACAAAGACATTCTTCTATTATTAATAATTTACTGCAGTCACCCTGTGACATCCATACTTTTCAGATACAATCAACACCTTTTACCTTCTCACCCTGAATTTCAGTAGTGCTAAGTCATCCGATTCCTCAGCCTACCCAGTAGTTCTCATTCGTGGGAGTAATCCCATTTGAAGTGAGTCACTGCTCACTGATGCGACTCTTGGTCAGACACACTAACATTTTGCGTGGCATTTCTGCTTCCTTTACCTACCAGTCAGAGCAATCACTCACAATACACTCCCTCGAGAACGGGACAGTTTCTGTTTTCTGCACCCCTCACACGTTCCTCAACATCACCTTTTCCTGAAGAAGGAAATCCACGTTATGAATTCCCAGTGAAGGAACTCCTGCCGCACCACTCTGACCACTTCCTGATACGTTTGTCAAGTCTGAAGGAAAACAAACGAAATTGTACCAAAATTGAGTATGAGAACTAGTTCTGATCAGGATTAATTCTTCTTTGACGGCTCTCTCCCACTTGTCTAAAAATAACTCTAAGGCAACTGCTATTTTACAGTCTATGAGCTCAGCCCACAAACAGAATAACCAAGTATTTTGTACTAAGACACTCATTAGTGCAAAGGATCTATACAACACAGAGGAATAATACACCTCTGGGAAATAAAAAAGCCTCAGAGGCAAACAGAGACACAACAGATGAAGGCTCCTTTAAATTGGCAACATTGCCCTACCCTGCAAGAAGAAGCTATAATTTTAAAACTTATAGCACGTGAAGAGTTACATTAACGAGGATTAGCACATGAAGATCCTTTTGGCTCTGGTCCACAACATCCTATGAGTATGTGCTACCTTGATGCATGTGCTTCACTCTCATCACCTTTGGTGGAATTTCAAGTTAGGCACATGCACACGTACTGCTCTTTATGCTACACTGCTGTGACTGCATTGTAATGCCCTTGGGTCTGGAACAGCGTGTGTATTTTAGTGGTTTACTAGTGACTTCATGCTGTCTATCCCTGCTGAAAAAAAAAAAAAACCAGGAAAATAACCACACCGCACATTATGCTATAGCATGCTACATTCACAGCAAAATTCTTGTTCTACAAATGTACACTTCTACAAGTACATTGTACAGTTTTACGAGTGCACAATGTACTACAATTTGCTGATGTGTCAATTCATGTATCCAAGCCAATCTTGGTTAATAAATGGTTTTGTTTCTTCAGTTGTATTTGCACCCCCAAAGCCTTCCCTTTGCTCTGCCACTATTGCAGACTTTACTTGCTAAAAAAGGTATCAGCTATGGCTCTACTTTTAAGTTCCTTTACTGAAAGCAGCCAGTAATTGCACATCAAAAGAAGAAAAAAACACCAGTTCAAACAAGAGACTGCAATAAGTGCATGAGTCACTGGTGAAGATAAAGTCAGTAATCACTGCACAAGGTCACACACAAGGAAAAAGGAAGAGGAAATGTCACCCACACTAAGGCAATGACATTCCTCATTGTTTGTCAAAGAACATTTCTTAACTTACCCAGCTTCACTTGACAACGAATAACACCCAGTTGCTTATGCTGCTTGTCACTTATACAGCACAAATCAAAAAGCTCTCTGTTCAGATCACCATAACTCAATGCAAAAGTGGTCTGAGAGGACACAAGGCTACAGACTGCTGGGTAAGCACGGGTGAAAAAGGTCAGCCCACGTACCACCAACAATTCCTTCAATGCGATATCAAGAATTCCTGCAAACATCAGGAAGTACCTTGCCTCGCTGCAGAGGACCTACTGAAAGTATCTGGAGAGAAAGAGGAGGTCACGCTCCTAGCCCAGGCACTCATAGGGTGCTTTCTGAGCGGCGGATGGGGCACACGTCCACCTGCTCCGGAGGCCCAGCTGCTGTGCGTGCTGGGGCAATGCTGAGACTGAAGCAAAGGGAGGTGGGGAGGAGTCGAAGGAGCATGAAGTTTGGGCTCCGTAACCAACTGGTGTTGCCCAGGCCACGCCGTGCGACGCTTCACTGGTGGATAGGACAGCTGCAGCGGAAAAAGGACACCACATTAGCAGGAGTTTCAGAAGTTTTCTAGCCTATGCTGAATGCGCAATATGCACTACAAACCCCAGCCACATGTCTGAGCTGAAGTGCAATAACACTGAATTAACCTGACCTTCTTTCCAACCCCCACTGTTTGAGTATTCGATTTAAACCATGATGCATAAACGCTTAAGGAGGATTTTGGGGAGCTCGTTGCTTTTTTTTTTCCCGCTTCACTCTTTGTCCAGATGTGACTAGCCTGATTCTTTGTGTCATTTGCCAAACCTGTAAGCTTTCCTTTCATGCCTCTCCTGGATCACGTACAAACAGTCCTGCACTGCCAAAGTCAGTAACAGCCCCCCACTTCTCTGCTGACAAATCAAATAGCATTAAGAACGGAAGTCACTTGGTCCAGTGACTTGCTTGAAGTTCAATATATTCTTAAGTGCTTACCTACCAGAACCTTGAGTTTTAACCGAGCCTTGTTAAGGATTCTGCCAGTTTTCGACTATTTTGGAACTCTAGCTAATTATGAAGACACTCACTTCTTTCAGAGGAGCGCTGCTGATATATATCAGCGTTGCCACACTTTGGGACTCTTCTGGGAGCCATGTAAAATGCACTGGCTTGCATAACTCTCTTTGTGAACCTGTCATCTTGGTAGACTTTCATTTTGAGACCAAGCGTGCAGAGCATGCTACGAGAAACCAGAAAATACAGTTCCTGGCGGTAAACGTCTCAGAACACAGCCGTCTCAGAATACAGCTACACGGAGTACAGCCGTCTCACGGTTCATGGGCGGCAATGCTGTATCCCAGACAGGAGAAGGCAGCTCATCTTCATTTCTTTCATTCAATATTCTGAAACAAAGCTTCTCATTGCACACCTGGCTGCGATCACATTTATCAGATCTTACACTGTGCCTGTCAGACATGTAATTAGGACACTATATGCTGCTACGCTTACGAGACTAGCTTTCAAATATTGCAGAGACAAGCCAGCATTAAGATCTTACGCATGAGCTTATACGTTCCCCTAAATTCTAAGCTAAGCTAGTACTGAAATAAATACCTGACAACATAGCCTTGCAACTGGCCTAGATCCAGAATTAAAAACCTGACCGTTACCCTCCAGTCTTACTGAAACGGCTCAAGAGACCTCAGCACATGTCCCCTACTACTCCGACACCTTGCCTTGTCCCAGTCCGATTTCAGTCCCACCGCTTTCCCCATCTCTGGAGGCAACTAGTCCTGCAGCGGAAGGATAACACCCCTGTCAGCAAGCCAGCACGCTGCACAGTGCCTCTGCGGACACAGGGCAAGTCCCAGATTTTGGGAGGAGGACAGCCTGAGCCTGTGCGCTGCATAGCCCATAAACTCAAGGGTTCCCATTAACACACATGCCAGCTTCCCCTGAGAGCTGCAGATCTTTCTTGGCAGCCGCTCCTATTCCAGGCAAAGGTTAGTTATTGCTCCCCGGACTTTTGCTACTCCGCCTACTCTCATGCTTTAATGCCATTCCTCTTAAGCACGCTCTGCATGGTTGGAGCTTGCTGATTTTCTGAGAAAGGGAGAAAACCGTGGCAAGCCACTAGCTGTGACTGATGTGCTGCTACAAGAACACAACCACCCTTTGTTTCTAACGCTACCCTGACCGGTCTTTCACTGCTGTTTTTCACCATGGCATTAAGCAGTCCATTCCCAGGCGTTTATCTGTGCTCTAAGACACTGCAGCAATATAACTCCTTTGCATCACTCGGGAGCAAGGGGGGTTACAGAGCAAGTCAGCCCATATGTGCAGAGCATCCGTCAGCCTTCTCCAGCCTGCAGGAAATACCTGCCAGGGGAGGACCCTCCTCCACACACACAGTCTGAGCCTCTTTAAATGACAACTGAGACTCCTTAGAGCAGCTCTAAGAAAAGGATCATCAAGAATAACTGGAACACCCACGTTTGAAATTTAGAGACATAACCTTAAGTTTTCTCTGAAAACACTGGTCTTTATTAGATCCGGGAGACAAACTTGAGGCTCATGCGTCAGGATGCTGCTTCGCTCCTTAACCTGTGCGGGTGCCTGTAGTACTCAGGGCTTGACAAGACAAGAGAGACAGATTTCCAGTCTGCTTTAAACTTTCAGAGCTTCCGATTTATTTTTTCGTAATGGAGTACTGTGCTGTCTTAGTTGGGTGTTACTCTTCCTTAAAACATATTCATCCTTAATACCACTAAAATGAGAGAGGGAGAGAGAGAGAGCTCCCTGTATTAAACACCGTAAACACTGCATGAACTGAAACGTAGAAGTGATTTACTCTCTGCAGTCAGCAGTGTCAGGCTTCAAAGCTGTTATATCAAAGCAGGATCATAAAGCCCAAAGCAATAAAGAGGAACCAACTGTGCTTTTTCTGTGTCACTGTACAAAACCGCTTTTTTGTGTGCGTGGTACATATATACTTTTTGAAATTAAAACGTTCAGTGCTCCAGTAGGAAAAAAACCTCTATCTAAATAGCATTGGCACTCTAACCACGCCGGCTTATAAAGCTGCCTTCCTTGTGCAGCGACGCTTAATTTTTTCTCTTGGCCTAACCATTGTGGACAAATTTGGATTCACAAGGTCAGCTTATAAGCCAGGCTACTTGCTGAGACATCCAAAACCTGTATCTGGATGCACAGACTTACCCAAGGGAAGATCTATTGCTACGTAGACTGTGCAAAGAGCGGGCTCTGGGACTCCCATTACAGGCACTCTACACTGACAGCTTTCCAGGACTTTATTTCTAGGTTCCTCAAGATCTACAGTAATAAAAATAGGAACGGATCTCATCCATCCTTTACAACAGAATAACCCAAAAGCTTGATGAACTCAGCCGTCATCTCGTGACAGCTCTTTTTCCGCAGACAGGAGATTTCCATGATGTTTTATCAAATTCTTTCCATGTTTACGATTGCTTTGCATTTATATCGTGCTCAAAAGTCAGGCTGCGATCTGCTGGCCTTGCTGGGTAGAACAACACCGTTATCTCCGGCTACGGTACCCCTGCCAAGTAAAGCACCAGTAACAGCTCTACATTTCTGGTTGATCTTAAAGCTTCTCTGCTTTTACTAATTAGTCTTCTTAAGAAAGATAAAACGGAATAAACAGGTGAAGGACATCTTCCAGTTTGACTAACCTGTACTTGTAAGCACCGCAGGACCGTGCATGTTTTTACAGTCCTACTCGGCGTTTCGGAAACCTGTTACATGTTCTTCCTTCAACCTACTGAAATGCTCGAGTTTCTTCAGCAGAGGGAGCTCAAGCTTTTTTTTGTTTTTTTTTTTTGTTTTTGTTTTGTTTTTTTTCCCCTCCCCACTTGCCTTTCCCAACGCTGGGAAAGCTTCCTGCCCTT